CCACAGTGCTTGAGGTCTGTCAATGATAAATCACACTTCTGGTTTATTTACCTTGAAGCAATCTTCGGCATCAGTTTGTATATTGTAGGCTGTAAGCTACATGTAGTTCTAGTATGTGCATCTCCGTGAACAGTGCCATAGGTAGTTATTTTATACGTGACGTGCTCTCTGCATTTTATCGAGAGGAAATTTTGCATTTTATTGGTTTTACTTATAGAGAACTGATTTTCTTTTTTTTTCTTTCTAATTTTTATTTTCACTTTGTTTTTACTCTTTTAATTAATTATCTTTTAATTATTTATTCAAACTTATTATTTTTAATTATTAGGTAACTTTTTTTTCAATTTATTATTTTTTGGTCATTCCGGGAATTCCGGGTATTCCGGGTATTCCAGCACGGAATTCCGGCATTCCGTCTTCTCCAAACTACCAACGATCCCCTGAAGAATCTATTATTTGGTCAGATGCGCTGTGATACTTGAATCCCATGATAGGGGCAAAACGATTACGCCTACCTACAAGTATCTATAGAACTTGACCAATAAAGTAAAATCAAAGTTAGCTCTACCTCTAACACTAAAACACTATCCTTAAGACAATAACTGACAATGACAAGTTTGGCTCCAACGTAGATTTATTCTGTAAACGCTACTGAACTGACGTGGCCCTAATCTGGCCTGACCTAAACTAACTTGACCAGAACTGGCTCGACCTGGCTTGACCATAGAAAGCTTCACATTGACAGCCCTATTTAAGCCTAATGTACAAGGGATTAGGTAATGCTATGAATTCTCTAAAGGATCACGAAATCTACTGTACAACGATTGGCTACGGAGGAATTCGCCTTTTACAAGATTAATTACTTTCGAAAAGTTCTGGTGGATAACAGCTACACAAAAGTACACGACAGGTAATGGTTACAGTTTGACACTGATTACAGTATGATCTAATAACTGTTTATGGTTAAGGTTGACTGAATAGGAACTGGTAACATTTACGCTTTGTTAGTTGAACTTAGCAAGATCTCACCGTTTCTACGTTGCATTTTACATATTTTTAGCGCGATAGCATAAAAACTCGATAACTTAAAGGTCGGCACACACGAGGGGACTAGTCCTTGCTACTAGTCCCAGCGATCAGTTTATTGCGACTAGTCCCTTCGTGTGAACTACACATTTCTGTGGTCGCAGGGACCAAAATTTGGTCCCTGCGACTGGTCGCAATCAAGTTAAGAGTAGTCGTCTCTGTAATTTGTTACAGTAGTAGTTATAGATCATTTCTTATTTCTTACTTGTTAAGAGACACAATTCAGTTTTTTAACTGCCGCAATGTTTTTCTTAAAAAATACAGTCTACATCTATATCATTACAAAATTTTGCTCTGATTAATGGCTAACGCTCGAAACGTCAGCTTTTTGGTGGCCAATTTACATTTATCAATTCAGTCTTTGGAACCAAAATTATCTTCTGAGCCAAAATTTATTGGACAAAAATGACTCAGCAGTTTAAACAGACACTCGGGACTACTGATAATTCCTTTAGTAAGAGATTTAAAAACCAGTGATTCACTCAGAGCTCGTGTAATTTTAAATCACTGAACGTCAAAAAATGTTGGTTGTATCATGATAATAATAAACCTGATCCCCCACAAGGCCCTTTTAAAATGTTCTTGTGACCCCCCAAAAGTCCTCCTTCCCACCTTCCCCTGAGACGATAACTGATAAAAAATAACTAATAAAAACCTTGAATGATTATTGTACTGTTATTTATTGGCGCTAAGTAACGTTCAAAGTGTCCCTTTTGAATGTTGTAAGTTTGAATGCCAAATATGTTTAATCACACAGTGTTTAAATAAATGATTGGCAACAGGCCAATGTTTAAAGCTAGTCTGATGCCCAGATCTTCCTCACCTAATTAAGCAATTCAGCCACACAAGTAGGGTCTGTGCTTCTGATCTGGGTACAGGAGGAAGCTCAAGTAAAACAAGAGGGCTACCGCACCAGGTAAAAAAAGGTGATATTACCTCAAACGCGCAAAATCCGGATATTGATATATTTTTTTACAAAACAGAGTAAACGAAGTGAGGGGAGTAAAGAAATCATCGATAAGACTGGTAATGCACGACGTGGGGTAAGCAAGACTGGACTGCAGTAAAAATGTCACTGCGAAAGTGCATTTTCAACTTTATCTTCATCAACGCAAGTAGTACATCAGTATTACTTCAAATGTATAAAAACGTTCCCAACTTTGATTGCTCAGAAAATGTTTTCAAGAAGAAAAGGGAGGGGTCAAAATTTTTGTTTGGTGAAAACGTCAGATTAGGAAATTTGATCACGTGGCAGTTTGCAATAATAAAAAAGTCGGTGCCAAAAAGTACACTTGCGCGGCTGTAGTTTGGCGAAATAAAACGTTAAGCTTGTACCAAGTTTTTACAGTCTCACTATCGTACGACGACAATGACGAGGAAGACGTCGATTAAAAAAATTAATTTATATTTTAAGTTAGAATTTCGCGAGTGGCTGGATGTGTTTACCATCACTTACGGTGTCACATCTCAACTTCAGCATAACACATATGAGCACTGTTGAGTTCCATATGAAAACTTAAATAATTTTCCGTCGGGGTTCCGTTCTCGGACCGCGCAAACTTCGGTTACTTCTCGTCGTTGTTTTGCAGAGGACGACTAAGAAATGTAGAAAGTTTCAAAACGCAAGTGCTTAACTACTGTTTTGCCACGTCCGTCGTTGTCGTCGTCGTCCTGGTTTGCTTTAGGGTCCCCTTTTCTTTAGCGCAGGAGCGTCGAATTAAAACCAGTTCCACGTCATGCAACAAATTTGTACGTAGGACAAAATATTGTACCTAGAAGGTAAACTGGCATGAAATGAAGTTTTTTAGCAGGATTCCCAATAAGTTATTTTTTTGTTAATTGGGGGAGAGTAAAAGAAACCCCTTCAGGGTAAAAACGTCTGAATCTGAGGTCATGTGCAGCCAATTCAGACCCTCGTTCGGCAGATGTGAGGGCCAGCAGGACCACTAGTTTCTCAGACAGTTGTTTCAATGACAATTCTGAATTA